AGAGTGGAAAGGAATTTAATCTATGCCCTTTTAGGGCTTGCTTTGAAACAAGGATCTTTTTTTGTCTCTCTTTCTCTCACCCCCCCCCCCCACAGACACACTGTAGATGGAAAGAATCAAGACTGAAGGAAACACAGAAGGCTGCAATTTTGATAGCAGCCCTTTAAGGACAATCACATTTCCCTCCTCTTCTAAACACATGGATTCTGCCACTCAGGAGATCTCAAAGGATTTCCCAGCAGAATTATAAAAAGTAAGAGAAAAATCGGCAAATATACTCAATTTCTATAAGTCGTGCAAGTCAAAGAATTCAGCTTTTCGTAACACAGATTCTGGGGTGTCCTGGGGCAATATGGGTGCCCATTGGCTTATTTTTAGGCTGATATGGGATGCTTCACAGATCCACTGTTTGTTCTAAAAAACAATATACAGTACTGAGTTTCCATTATTAGTCTTCAAGGTGCCTTAAAATGTACTTATTTAGTTACATTTATATCCGGCCTTTCTTCCATCAGGGAACTCAAGGCATTCCCAGGCACTGACCAGACCCAGACCTGCTTAATTTCAGCAAGGCAGTCGCCTCCTGTTGGTACACCATGGTACCAACAACATGGCCAAAAAGATATAACACACCATTAAAGCCACTAAAATAAAACAAACGCAAAACAGAGAACAATAAAACATTGGCCTGATCCAGAGCAAGATGCAAGGCAGCAGGAGCCACTGATTTCCTGGCTTGCTTTGCAGAGGACGCAACAATTAGTGACAATTAACATGTCTATCACACAAGTCTAATCAATTTCATCTGCCAAGACTTTCCCCAAGGAATCTTCCCCAGGAAAGGAAGTTCAGTGAAGCAGCCAGGAATCCCTAAGCAGAACTTTCAGCATTTTCTCAAACCTACAGCTCTTGCCGATCTTGGGGAAGCAAGACTGGTGGTGGTGGTAAAACGTAACACTGAATAGCGGTTCTTAAAACTGTTTTCAGAAGTTGGCAGGCCAGCCTTCTCCAACCTGGTGCCCTCCTGATGTTTTGAACTGCAGCACCCAACAAGCCCAGCCAGCAGGGCCAACAGAGTCAGGAAGGAACCTAAGAAGAGCCTGCTGGATCAGGCCAATGGCCCATCAAGTCCAGCATCCTGCTCTCAGAGTGGCCAACCAGATGGCTCGACTAGAAGCCCACAAGCAGGATTTGAGCACAAGAGCCCTCCCCACCCCCTGGCACTGTGGTTTGCAGCATTGCTGCTTCTGATTGTGAAGGCAGAGCATATCCATCATGGCTTAAGGAACCCCTGACCTTAAGGTCCAGTTGCGGACGACTCTGGGATTGCGCGCTCATCTCGCTTTACTAGCCGAGGGAGCTGACGTTTGTCCGCAGACAGTTTTTCCGGGTCATGTGGCCACCATGACTAAGCCGCTTCTGGTGAACCAGAGCAGCGCACAGAAACGCCGTTTACCTTGCCGCCGGAGCGGTACCTATTTATCTACCTGCACTTTGATGTGCTTTCAAACTGCTAGGTTGGCAGAAGCAGGGACCAAACAACGGGAGCTCACCCCGTTGCGGGATTCGAACTGCCAACCTTCTGACCAGCAAGCCCTAGGCTCAGTGGTTTAGACCACAACACCACCCGCATCCATCATGGCTAGTAGCCATCAATAGCCCTCTTCTCCATGAATCTCCATGACCCTTTCCAATCCTCCTTTAAAGCCATCCAAGTTAGTGGCCATCACTGCCTCCTGCGGGAGTGAGTTCCATATAACTATGCATTGCATGAAGAAAGACTGCCTTTTATTGGTCCTGAATCTTCTTCCAACATAGGAGCTGCCCTCCAAAGCATGTGAAGCGCCCCAGGGTGGTAAATGTTGTCAGGGATTCTTTAGTTGCGGTTCCTGCTTTGAAGAGGGTTGGGCTAGATGTCCCCCTTCCGACTCGACAATTCTATGATTCAGCGATTCTAACTTTTACTCAGAGTCGACAGCCCAACATGAATAGACCTATGTTAGTCATCTCCATTAATTGCAGTGGCTCTATTCTGAGTATGACTAACTCTGGATACAACCCAATAAATAAAATTGATTTAAGCAAAAGCAGAACTTCCAGTTCTCACTACTCAGATGGCCTACTACTGTACTATTGTTTTCAGAATATAGTTTAATTTTCTGGAAGCAGTTCAAAAAAATTCCCAGGGACCAGTGCTTTTGCATATACAATACAGTGGTACCTCGGGTTATATACACTTCAGGTTACCGGTACATACGCTTCAGATTACAGACTCTGCTAACTCAGAAATAGTACCTCGGGTTAAGAACTTTGCTTCAGGATGAGAACAGAAATCATGTGGCGGTGGCAGCGCGGCAGCAGCAGGAGGCCCCATTAGTTAAAGTGGTACCTCAGGTTAAGAACAGTTTCAGGTTAAGACTGGACCTCCGGAACAAATTAAGTTCTTAACCCGATGTACCACTGTAGAAGACACCATCCACTATATGCTATAATGTAAGCTGTATGCACCACCCTGGCAAAAATATCTTTTTAGTGGTGGTTGCTACCCTCAGTGATAGTGATAAGATTAAATATCTGTTGTTCGCTTCTGACAGGTAATGTCTAATACATCTAAATTTGCAGTGAAAGCTGCTCAGACAAAGGCCATGTGGCCTCCTTTGTGATATAAGACCCCTCAAAAAAAGTATGTTTTATTTATTGTATAGGTCAAGTTTTTATCTTTATGTATGATTCTTATGTATCATTTATGTTCCTGTGTTTCTGTTTGGCTACAGCCTGTATTTGCTTACCTTACTAATAAATCTGAATGTGACTGCAACTATACTGAAAAAATAAAGGACACCTGTAGAAGTGTTCATTGAGCAATCAGTGCTCCGTATGCAAGCAAGATTTTTGCATGATGTCGTTGGCATTAAAATGTCAGTCCATATTTCTTTCTCTCTTTCATTCAGATTTACCATTTCCAGGAAAAAACAGCACCTTTTTTTTTAAGGCTGCCAATGTCCCGTTTCCAAATTAAGCCCCCATCTAGAAACACTCAAAGCAAAGCAAAATTCTACCACTCCTGTTTTCTCCTTCACTGCTAACAAATAAGCCAAATGTGCTCTGCTGTGTTAGGCCGCAGGGACACGACCAATAAGCCTGCCTGTGTCATGAGATATTCTGCTGAAGCTCTTCTCCAATCGCCTTTTTTATTAGAAGTGTCCTTTGCTTTTCCAACCTGCCTGCCACCTATATTTGTTTTTTAAGTACCAAGTTAGTACCGTCTTCTCAGACATTTTAATATGTGTAATGGCTTTGTCTGTTGTATATTTTAACTTTAGCCTCCCATCACATTGCTCATGCTATGGTTTTATTGCATATTTTATTGTGTTGCTCACCGCCCTGGAATCTATTGGACAAAGGGCAATATAAAAATATTTTAAATAAATAATGAGAAGTTGCAGCAGTGCTGATCTGCCTTGTCTGCTGCCCATACTAAGCCTCTGGGCAAATGGATACTTGGCTGTTCATCTGCCCACCTTGAAAACATACTCATTTATTCCAAAAGAAAACACTACGTGGTTTTGCATTATTTCCTAACTCCTGTTCATTTATTGTTACTTGATCCTTTTGGGGATCTACGTCGTGTCCCAAGTTCAGCAAAGTGGCCTATTTCACCCCTCTGCAACAAGGAAAGACAGTACAGTGGTACCTTGGGTTAAGTACTTAATTCGTTCCGGAGGTCTGTTCTTAACCTGAAACTGTTCTTAACCTGAAGCACCACTTTAGCTAATGGGGCCTCCTGCTGCTGCCGCGCCGCCGGAGCAAGATTTCTGTTCTTATCCTGAAGCAAAGTTCTTAACCTGAAGCACTATCTCTGGGTTAGCAGAGTCTGTAACCTGAAGCGTATGTAACCCGAGGTACCACTGTATGTACCTCTGTAGACCTGTAAAATCACTTAGATCATCTGGGGAAAGTTCACTCACAGAACCGCACCCTACAAATTATCACACCAATGACTCAAAAACAGCCTTTTATGCCGTTGCCCCTTCCCACTTCCATACATTACTGTTGGTGTTGTTATTATTGTTATTACCTGCCCTTCACCCTAAGGTCCCAGGGCAGGTTACAACACAATTTCAAAAACAGTTTAAAACAACAATCACAAAAATAAAGTGGGTCCTAACAATACATATTTCAAGTGTCAAAACTCTATACCTCAAATGGCTTCAGACAGCTTGTAAAAAGAATTTTTTGCCCAGCCTTCTCCAAACCCATAAACTAATCCTGAATTCTTATTTCCCCCAGCTGTTTTTTTTTATTATACGGTGTTGTTTTTTCAAAAGAGCTGTATATTGTTTTTATGTTGCATTCTGTACACCACTTACAAGGTTTCAAAAAAATATCAAGCAGTTTAGAAATGCTTTCAAATAAATGAAATAAGAAACAAACAAACGATGCTACTAAAGTTGCCAGGATACCCATTTCACAAACGATAGGACTCGGAAAGTGACATTGTCTACGCGGGGGGCGGGAACCATGCTGGGTATTCATGGCCCACCTCACAGGGCTGTTCTGAAGCTAGACTGTCGCTCTGATCTCCTTGGAGGAAACGAGGGTTGCAGAAGATAGAAAAACAAGGCATGGAGAGGTGGGGTGCATGTTATGTTTGGCGGCTGGGGCTGACCAGTTTTTTATAGTCCTGTCAAAACGCACACAGAGCGCACGGCACGGAGGATTTTTGAGAATTACGCGCAGCGATGCGCGCGGTTTCCAGGAAGAGGGGCTCTCCTGCCAGCCCTTCGGGGATCACCGATCCCTCCGATCGCTTGCAGCTGAGCTAGAAGGTCCCGGATCCGGGCTGCGAGGGCGAGAAAACAGCACCCCACCTTTCCGTGAAGACTCCGGAGAGCATCCTTTGGAGAGGGGGCAAGACGGCGACGGGGAGGAGACCCCGGGCCCCCTCCTCACCTTTCCTTGCGGGGAAAAAGGCTGGCCAGCCGCAGCTCCGCGCTTACCTGCGCCCCTGCTCCGGGAGTGCGTCCCCGCAGTGGTGCGCCCTGGCGTCGGAGCGCGCAGTCGGGGCGCCTCTCCTCCTCCCGCGCTGCGTGGCAAGCCCGGCCTGGCTCAGGGGCGCGGGCAGCGGCCGAGCCCGGCGCCAGCGCGTGCGCTCGCTGCTGCTTCTGGGGCTCTGCCGCCTGCAGCCGCCGCCGCCGCCGCCTCGCCCGGCTCCGCAGCTCGCCTCTAATCTGTCCCAGACACGTCGAGACTCAGCCCCGGAGGAGAAGGGAGGGCCCCTCGCCTGGCCTCGCCGCGCCTCCTGTGCTCTCCAAAGCCTGCGCCAAAGGGAGGGAAAGAGGAAGGGGGGCGCTTGCCCTGGGCACCCAGAGCGGGGAAGGGGGTGCCCAGCCGAGCTCGGGCAGGATTCTCTGAACAGGGAGCAGTCCGGGGGCATCAGGGAGGGGGCTGGCAGGGGCATCGCGGGAAGGGCCTCTTGCACTGTCCCTCGAGGCTTTGCAACGCTGCACGGGCTGCGCAGCTTGCAGAAATTGGCCCAGGGTCCGGTCCTTTTAGGCCCTGAATCTCCTGGCCTTATTAACCACACACAGAGAGATACCGGCTTGGAGACGACCACGGGGAGGACTTCAGTGGCAAAGCCCCTGCTAAACGTTTCTCTGCTTCGTCTCCCCACCCACCTTCCAACTGTTGTGCTGTGTGCTACAACCAGCCTTCCTGGTATGTTAGGGCAAAATAAGAATAATCTTAAAAATCGGTTTGGCAATCAAGATAATGGGAGGGGTAAACTCTGATCATGTGCAGCTTCACATTTTAAACTCAGTGAAATCATCACAGTTGGGAGAGTTGGCCTTGAATTTGCTTCTACCTCCTTGTAAGCACATGCATTTGGGAATAGGCACTGTTTTGCTTCATGCATACATTTGTTTATGAATCCCTTCCTTTGAAGCATCTGAAAACGATTTCACAATAAAAAATAAGGACAATACAAGCAACCACAAGGCAGCATACCATATTTTGAGGAGCAAAAAAGAGGACACTATGATGGCTATTCAAAGCAAATAAATGCAATTTGTCTCAAACGTTACCCCTGAAAAAGAGGACACATCGCAACCCTACCTGCTTATCGGTAAGGACATACCTGCTTGGCCTCCATCTCTAGACTAGGAAACTTCTCTTGAAAAGAAGGTGGAGGAGGATGCTGTGTCAGCACCAGCCCCTGTAGACCTCCAGCTTGGTCCAGGGTTGGTTAAATACCTGGATATTTTATCTGCTTTAAGATGTTTTGCTTAATCAGGTATTTGAGCTGTGGAGTTCTGAATTTGTTTGTTAATCCCCTCCCCTCATACCTTGATTCACCAGGTTTTACCACCTGAGACACATCAAAAGCCAGCAGGCTGTGGCCCCGACTTCCCACAATCTGTCAAGACACTGCTCTCTCTAGTCAAAACCTCTCCTAAACCAGCTACTTCGTTTATTAAGTATAAATAAGCTAAGGGCAGCATACATGGTTTTGTCTCCACCCATTTTATCCTCACAACAACCCTGTGGGGTAGGTTAGACGGAGAGATAGTAAGTGGCCTGAGGTCGCCCAGTGAGCTTCATGTCCATGACCAGTTTTGAATCAGTTTTCTAATCCAAGTATAGAGGATCTTCTGTTCCAGAGGCCAAATGAAGCTATCCAGGCTTTTCTATCCAGTCCTTGGGACTGTTCCCAGACTAAGGGTAAAGGGACCCCTGACCATAAGTCCAGTCACGGACAACTCTGGGGTTGCTCATCTCACTTTACTGGCCGAGGAAGCTGGTATACAGCTTCTGGGTCATGTGGCCAGCATGACTAAGCCACTTCTGGCGAACCAGAGCAGTGCACGGAAACGCCATTTACCTTCCCACCAGAGCGGTACCTATTTATCTACTTGAACTTTGATGTGCTTTTGAACTGCTAGGTTGGCAGGAGCAGGGACCAAGCAACAGGAGCTCACCCCATCGCGGGGATTCGAACCGTGACCTTCTGATCGTCTAGACCACAGCGCCACCCGCATCCCTGCTCCCAGACTAGACACCCAGTAACTGGTCCTGCTTGGTGTCCTTTTGAAGTGCTTTTGCATGGCTGGGCTGTGTCCTTGAACTGTGATAATGCATCTTGATGGACGATAAAATGATGCTGAATGAGTGTGTAGTAACCCTTTGGCTTTTGCATGTCCAATGTGTACCCAACTGTACACAGGTAAAAGTCATACAGAATAATGTGTGCAGCGCAATAAATAAATAAATAAATAAATAAATAAATAAATAAATAAATACGCCCCACCCACTTTTACCTCAAGCCTCACCTACCACTGACATGTGGCTTCCAGAAGTTTGCCCACGAAGGAATATGTGCTCTCAACCACCACACCATGCTGATGAAATCACAAGTTGCCAGGAACTTGCTTTCCCCACCTCCTCTAATTAGGGCTGTCAGACCCAGGGCCTGAAGCTACTCCTGGACCTTTAATAGAGGTTTTGGGTTTTGTTTGTTTGTTTGGTGTTTAGTAGCCAAACAGTAGAGAATCCATTTTAAAAATGGAGTCTGGTTGACCTCTGTTGTAGTATATGGAATCGTTTCTGGAATGGTTTTGGGACGGCTGACTGAAATTTGACTCCTCTACCATTTCACGCCGACCAGACGTTCTCTCCTTCAATCCCTCTTTTTAATTGTTACTCTTTATTCTGCTTTCTCTTTGATATCGCAGCATCCTGTGGTTTCTTGTACAGCTTTAATTACGTCGTTTCTGGAACATGGAAAAGTGGATGGCTGCAAATACATAAGAAGGGGAGGATCTGCCGAGATTATCATTTGCTGGTATCTTGATGCTGTGCATTGCAAACCCACTATGTCTTGAGCACTAAAAAATTAAAAATAAGTTTAATTTTATAATATCGCCAGTTTCTTGTGGTATCTTCTGTGGCCACTGATAAGGAAGCCTTAACTTTGTAAAACTCTTGTCTTCTATGCAGACCTTAGCAGCAGAAGAGCTCTCTCAGGGACAGAAACTTGGGAAGCCTGTTTTTTGTGTGTTTTGTTTTTTGTGTGACCCCTCCCCTTCCCCAGGCTCCCTACTAAGCATGGAGATGCTTCCTGAAACATTTATTTCTGGCAACATCCTGTAAGGAACCAAAAGGAAAAGCTTGTGACATCCTGGAACCTTCAATAGGAAGCTGAGGAATGAGGACCTGACACACAGCCTCATCTTGAAGGCTTTCACAAGGGATTTTTGGTGGTGTTTATGAAGAAGAAGAAGAAGAAGAAGAAGAAGAAGAAGAGGAAGAAGAAGAAGAAGAAGTAGTTGTTCTGTGTCCTGGCCAGCAACCATACCCTAAGACAGCGTGAGGCAAATCCAGCTTTTTGGAAATCATGCAACTGTTTACTCTGGGCATCTCCGAAAGACCTGTTTATTGAGGATTTTTCCAGATTGGCTTATGGGCTGGCTGTACAACTGGTCTAAACCACTGACCCCCTTGGGCTTGCCTATCGGAAGGTTGGCGGTTCAAATCCCCGTGACGGGGTGAGCTCCCGTTGCTCTGTCCTAGCTCCTGTAAACCTAGCAGTTCAAAAGCATGCCAGTGCAAGTACTGCTTGGATGTGCTAAGAATAGGTACCGCTGTGACAGGAAGGTAAATGTGGTTTAGTCATGCTGGCCACATGACCCGGAAAGCTGTCTGTGGACAAACGCCAGCTCCCTGGGCCTGAAAAGCGAGATGAGTGCCACAACCCCATAGTTGCCTTGGAGTGGACTTAACCGTCCAGGGGTCCTTTACCTTTTCAACGTGTAGCATTAATTTGCTTTCAGGATGTTTATACGTCTTCCCTTTAAACGTGACATAATCTTCATTACATTGTCATACTGGCTGGGCCTGATGGGAGTTGTATTCATTTATTTGTTGCACTTCTCCTTTCCTCCAAGGAGCTCAAGGTGGCGTGCTTGGTTCTACCCAATTTATCCTCTCCTGCCCTGCGAGGCAGCTTAGGTTGAGAGACTGTGACTGGCCCAAGTGCCACCCAGAGAGCTCCATGCCTGAGCAGGGATTTGAACCCTCGTCTCCCAGGTCTTAGTTAGACCCTCTAACCACTACACCACATGGGCTCTACACAACACCAAGCTGGCTATGTAGGCCAAAACCTCTGGAGGGGTCACCATGTTAGGGAATGCTGCTGCGGAGGAAGCAGAGCAAAAGGAGGCATAGGATCAAGGGCAAGGCCTTCATCAGAAACCTCAAGCCAGGCTCCATGGGAGGGTTGACTACTTCCCCCAGCTCATTGGGGAGGGGGTGTGTCAGACTCCCAGGGTTGAAAGAGCCTGTCACTTTAATGCAGACAGATGGGGGTGCAGGGAGAAAAGAAACAGGCCTGGCCAGAATGAGTGACAGGCAGACTGGGCTAAGCATTTCTCCCCTTAACCCCTCGCATGCTGTCCAGCATCTGGAGTTGGGGGCAGCCCATTGGCAGCTCTGGAATGGACTGCTTTGCCCCAGAGTAAACTTGCAAGTGGGGTGGCTGTTATACTTAATGTCTATTTTTTTAAAGGCAGCTCAAGTTTATCTGTTGAGATACACCCCTGAGGGAGAGGCATAGCCTAGTGGCATCTCCAAGCACCTGGAAGGTAGGTTAGGTTGAGAGTCAGCGGCTGGCTCCCCAAAGTCACCCAGTGAGCTTCAAGGCCGAGTGGGGATTCAAACCCTTGTCCCCCAGGTCCCAGTCTAACACTCTAACCGCTACACCAGACTGGCTCTCATCTTACCCTGGGCTTTAACTGAAGCGTAGGCAGCCAGGAAGGCTACAGAGCCCACAGCGCTGGTGGGATGAATTTCAGAATGAAAGAAAGGAATGTTCACAAACACCCCTCTCTGGCAGCACAAAAGCAAGGTGAGTGCCAACAAAAACTCAGCAACGCTCCCCCCATCAGAATTTCACCAAAATGTTTACTCTTTGTTAATAACTTTAGATTGCCATTTATTTTCTTATTATCTGTTGGCAAATGCCCAAAAGACAAAAACCACCGTAAGATAATTTTCCAGCGCAGCACAGAGAATAGATTCCCCACCCAG